CGGCGCAGGGCTGGGGGGCCCAGCTGGGAGTCCCTTTTCCCGGCCAAGAGCGCAGCGCGTGGACGCGTGTCGGTCCGCCCGTCTGTCTGCGCCTCCTCCTTCCTTTCCCACAATGCGCCAACGCGGAAGGCAGCTGGGCTGGAGCTCGCTCTGGAAGCGGCCCAGCCGCCCCACGGGACCGGCGCCGGAAGGTACCGGGGAGCGGGGAGAGAGGGGGGGTCCCCCTTCGGAGGGGGGGCGCGGGATCGGCACTCTTGCGCCGCCGGGTTCCAGGCGCCCAGAGATCACGAGAGATCCAGAGATCTCCTGCCAAGCTTGGAAAGCCCTCCGGTGCGCCTCGACTTTCCGTGCGCCGGGACTTGGCTGGGGAAAAAAGCTTCTCTCTCTCTTCCCCCCCCCCCAATATATCCGCCATGCGCTTTATTTCATTTTATGTTCGCGTCTTTTTTGGTTTTTTTCAACGCGGAGGCGTGGAGACCGATGTCCCGGCACGGAGTGCAAAGAAAGAAACAGAAAGAAAGAAAAGCGCATCTTTTCCTCTCTTGTTTGGAAAGTTTGCCCCGGGAAGTTTGGGCGCCTCCAAGACCCATCATCCCCGGGTCCTGCTGGGCAGGGGCTGATGGGAACTGGAGGCCCAAGCCTCTCCCAGAGGGAGGGCCGATGACCGTGACAGGCTGGAGGGAGGGAGGAGAGCCTCGCCGGGGCGCTTTTCCGGGAAGCGGCGGCGCTTCGGTGCGGTTCCGGGCATTGTTGGGGGGCGGACGCTTGTGGGAGGCGATGGGGCGTTGGGTTGTCCCCCCCCCTCTCCCGGGCGAGTGGCCACTTGCACGCGAGTGGGGGGGGGGGAAGATCTGCGCTTTTCTGCCCGGCTTCCCGCACGCGTCGGTGACCGAGTCTGGGCCAAAAAGAAGAAGCCGGGATTCCTTTTTGCTCCGGTGGCTGTTTTCCAAACTGGGTGCAAACTGGTGGTAGTGGTGGCGGAGGTGGGACTAATCCGGAATGCAGGCGCTTGCCAGTGCGGGTCCTGTTTATTCTGCTTTCAGAGGAAGGAAAGAGAAAGAAACTAAGGCTGAGACCACGTTGGCCCTTTTGGAATTTGCTGATGCTGTATACGGGTCCTGTTTATTCTGCTCTTAGAGGAACGAAAGAGAAAGAAACTAAGGCTGAGACCGCGTTGGCCCTTTTGGAGTTTGCTGATGCTGTATGAACAGGGTGACTTGAGGCGGGCAGGGAGGGAAGTGGGGAAGAGAAGCCATATGCAGTTTTGGGGCGATCTTCAAATCCAAATGGCATTTATTGTCCTTTCACTTTCCATTTCTGGTTTGGCGAAGTGGCTTGAGAAGCAACCATTTCAGAGCGTCAGCAAATTGACCGCTTCCCCTATTTCTCTGCGGAGAGGAAAGAGAGAGTGGATTGTTTTTTGTTTTCCCTGTGCTAGACTATCGCTGATGCACTGCATCACTTGGATTAATTTTTGAAAAATATTTTCTTTGCCTTGTTCAAACTGCTGGTCAAGAAACTGGCAGTTTCTGCCTGCAGCAGTTTCAAATGGCACTTCACCAATCAGTCAGTCAATCTGTCTGTCTGTCTGTCTGTCTGTCTCTCTCTCTCTCTCTCTCTCTCTCTCTCTCTCTCTCTCTCTCTCTCTCTCTCTCTCTCTCTCTCTCTCTCTCTCTCTCTCTCTCTCTCTCTCTCTCTCTCTCTCTCTCTCTCTATCTATCTATCTATCTATCTATCTATTGATTTAAGTTATTCAGCACATCAGCTATGTTCTAGTGGAGGCAAAAAATAATATTTCACATCTTCTGCCCCCCCCCCACACACACTTAAAGTTCAACCCATGAAATCTACTGGATGCCTGGACCAAGTATGAGCTCACTGGAGGAAGAAGAACAGTGCAAGTTGGGGGCTCCTGTTGTACAGGGGCAGTGATCTCATTTTGGGTTTTAGTCCAAACTTTACAAGAGCCACTCAAGGTGTTGAATTCTGCCCCCAAAATGGGTGCAACACCTTAGATAGCGTTCAAAACATTCAAAGCAAAAGTCATGAGCTTCAAACCTCTACCCCTCTCCCACACACAACTGGAGCCACCACCAACCTCCACTGGGTGTGATATAAATGGAGGAGATGAATAAAGTCTAGTGGATTTGTGGTCCAGAAAGGGTTAAAAAAGAACATGAACATTTATTTGTTTAATTTCTACCCTGCATTTCTCCCTGTAGAGGGATGCAAGGTAGCTTCCAAACAGTTTCAAAAGACAACTATGGAAACAATTAATAATAATAATAATAATAATAATTTATTGTCATTGTAAGTATATACACATACAACGAAATTCACATAATTACCATTCTACCCTGCATTTCTCCCTGTAGAGGGACGCAAGGTAGCTTCCAAACGGTTTCAAAAGACAACTATGGAAACAATTACCGTACACAATATAAAATTGCATTATATGAAAAAAAAACCCCTAATGAAACACATTAGTTATTAAAAGGCCAAAAACAATCCCCCTTTTAATGGCAGATCTAGGGCCAAGAAAGATTTCTGCCGAGCATAGGGCAGTGATTTATGGGAATACGTTTTCCACATGGCCAGAATGTGGCTGAAAGGGTCTTGCACATGATGGTTTGGTGTTTTCTTCTAGAAAGCAGAATGATGGGAGACAGTCCAAACGTCTGGGTGGGGAGCGCTTACCTGTTTGTCCAGTCGACGTCGGAAAAGGTCCTTCTACCCATGCTCTACGGAAACCCACAGCAGAAGCCAAGCGTCTTCAGGGCATTCAAAATGGCACTAGCAGGTACGTATGCAGGATGAGGCCTGCCCTTGGCAACTGTGCATCTGGCTGGTACCTCTGCAGGCAATACCACAATTAGCCAGTTATGACTCAGCATGTTTACCACCAAGTTGCCCCAGGGAACATAAAGGCTGTCCACACTCAAACACTCTCTTCGTCAACTAGTGGGAAATCGAACTCCCAACCCAGGTGCTGCTGCTTCTCACTGAGCTATCCAGCCAGCCTGAGCCTAGCAACCTCTTTCTAATTCCACCCCCTTCCTTGCTTCCCTGAATGTCATAGTTATGCTGGCAAAACAGCAGGCATGCAAGTCCACATGGCAAACTGCCACTAATTAATGAATTGCTGCTTGGATTCCTGGTTATGTAGCAAGTCATCGGAATGGTGAAAAATGAGGAGTCGAGCAGGGGACTCATTAATTAGTGGCAATATGACACAATTGGTTACATCACAGGCCTTCTACCAGTCTAGCTATGCAACAGGATTTTAGCCTATGTGTACGTACTGACAAGTGATCCACAGTGCTTAAATCCTTCAGGGGGTTTCAGGTACTGCTGCTGGTTGAAGATGCACTCTTGGGTGGTTGCTTGAAGCAGAAAGCTTGAGCTGCCACACCACAAGACCCTTGACGGAGCTGTCTTAGATATTCTGTTCGTCTCTCTACTCCAGTATTGCTTGCTTTGATTGGAAGCACCTTTCTAGGGTCTTAAGTCCAAAAGAGGTTGCTCTCAACATGGCGACTCGTTATCCTTAGAGATGGTGGGATAGAACCTGTGATGTCCTACACGCAAAGGCAAAATTCTCCTAGTTCACGAGAGACGGCAGGCACAGGATTAAGAGCAAAGCCATCCTTGAGGCCGATGAGTTGACCGCCATTGAGTCGTCTCACTCTCCTTTCTCCACTTCCTCCTCCAGACTCCACCGGTAGCCTCCATGGGGTGGACGTGCTGAAGGTGTACTGTAGTGAACCTCACTTGATCGTGCAACTCAAGTTCTCCAAGGAAGAGAACTGCCGGAGGTTTCTCCAAAGTTACCGCGAAGGAACGCTCCAGGACTCTCTCCAGAAGCATCTCAAAAACACCTTGTCGATGGCCAGCGTGGTCTCTGTGGAGACGGAGCTGAAAGCGGGTGCTGAAAAGCTGGACTCTATGATTCGGGAGGAGGACCGGTGCTTGGCGTGCATCTACAAAGAGAAGGTGACCTTCAAGGTTCAGGCTAGGGTTGGCTGAAATAGGACAAAAATCGTGGGCATACTAGGGTGCCAAAGTTAAATTCTAGTGTCTGAACCATCCAGGTTCTATAGAACAATGGTTCCCAACTCTGAGTCCTCAGATGTTCTTGGACTACAACTCCCGGAAGTAGAGATGTAAAATTTCTGGACATTTTTAAGCCATACAAAATGACTTTGGGAAAAACTGGGGGTCTTGTGTGTGTGTCCCCCTCCAGTTTTTCCATTCCCCCCCTCAAAAAAAAACTGTTTTATATGGCTTCAAAATTTCTGGAAATTTTACATCTCTAATTGGGACTTCATCTTGCCTAGAGATGGGAAGGCCTGGAGGGAAAAACAGAAAAATTGAGGGGGGGAAAAGAAAAAAAAATTCCTCCTGTCCCCCCTCCCCCAAAGAAGATGGGAAGGCCTGGAGGGAAAAACAGAATTGAAATTGAGGGGGAAAAAAGAAAAAAAATCCTCCCCCATTTTATATGGCTTCAACATTTCTGGAATTTTACATCTCTATCCAGACGCCTTCCCCACGAGTTGTGCTAACCAGGATTTCTGGGAGTTCTAGTCCGAAAACATCGAGGGACCCAAGGTTGAGAATCCTTGGCTAGAGAAGAACCATTTGGTTTCTGCAGTGGACGCACTTTACCTAACTTTCCTCCTTTTATGTTGTACACACAAGGTTTGGCTTTTGCATCATCCTGAGCGCAAGTAAAAATGTGGCACACCGAAACACCAGTTTTCCGTCTCACAAAACATCCCGCTGGAAATCCTATGGCATCCGTGTCACATTTTGGCCGGTGTTTGCCAGCCCCTCATCTTGCTTTCATAGCTATAAAGGTCTAGAAGTATTTTCTTTCTTACACAAAAGTTGACATGTTCAGGATAGGAGTGTGTATGTTGGTGTAGGGATTTCAACATTTATCTATCCAATGTTCCAGCCTTACTTTTGTACTCGGGGAAACAGAAAAGAGAAAGCTAGCAGTGGGTTGCCAAGGAGTTTGTGACGAGTGTCTTCAGAGAGCCTGACGAGACAAATATGAACGTCTTAAATATTAACGCTGGCTTTAAACGTCCTTCCCTCTGCCATCTTCTATGCATTCATATTTCAGCCTAACCGTCTCAGGGACGAGGAGATAATAGAGCTTGAAGAATCGCTCCTGCACTTGAGTTGTTCTGAAGAAAGCAAGACCGACCACAGCAGCTCCTCGTCACCCCCTTGGTCTCTGAGTTCTTCCACTCCATCTTCAAATTCTTCGCTTCAGTCTCTGAATTCTTCACCCCCGTCGTACAGTTCTTTGGAGATTCCAGGCTCTTTGCCCCAGGCCGATACTTTCATCTTCCAGGACCAGCCGTTTGGTGAGTGATCTGGAAGAGAAAACCGGGAGCACTTTCTTGTGAAAGGGTGAAGAAGGCTGATACAGTATTTTTTAAAAAAGTCTTAAAAGCAGAAAGCTAAAGACATGCATTGGGTCACAGTCTCCTCAAGAGGGTGCTGTGTAGACCTTTAGGGGGGGAAATTAGAGAACGGTAGTGAGGAACCAGTTAGAACCATCAATCTCCAGCTAGTGTGACTACTGGTCAGAGTTGATGGGAGTCGTAGACCATCAGCATTAGAAAAGGCCGAAGTCCCTGCCATGCCTGATACAGAGCAAACATTTAGAATATCCCTGTTTTAAAGCCCCCTTGGGTTCTTTCAAGTAAAACATTTTAAATAAATAAATAATAAATATTCCCAGGCATGCTCAGAGATCCAATAGGGAAGTATCTGCAGTTTTTTTTTTTAAAAAAACAGTTACATTCAATAAGGTGCATTGACCATTTCTGTCCTCCTCTGTGGCCATCTTCTCTCTCTCTCTCTCTGCACGCGTCGTCCAAAACCAGTGTTGGTATCTCACACCTTCTTGTTTCACCGTACGCACTAGGACAATTCCTCACTGGCTTTTCAGTGGTTCAAAACAAACACATAAAAAGCAACCCTCTGCATCCTCTCTCTCCTTGGGGAAGCGGGAGAAAGTGATTCTGCTGAGGGACACGAGAGCTAAGCCATGTGTTTTGGTTCGATCCTGGTGATCACACCTCCCGGAACCGAACCAAAACAGAGCAAACCAAACTCCACTTTAAAAAAAAACAAACACCACAACCTAGTAATTCCTTCCAGGGGCCCAAAAAGGTGTAGGTAGGGATAGATAAGGGTTGGGCTGGCTTGCAGTTGCCTGAATGTCCATGGGGGGTCACCGAAAAATGGAGCAAACCAGCCCATTTCCAAACCAGTCCAAACCACGGGACAAAGTGCTGTCCGACTGTACAGTCGTGCCCCACTTAACGATTACCCCGTATAACGACGAATCCGCTTCACAACGATGTTTTTGCGATAGCAATTGAGATTGCAAAACAATGTTTTAATGGGTTTTTTTCGCTTTGTGACGATCGGTTCCCTGCTTCGGGAACTGATTCTTCACATTATGACGATCAAAACAGCTGATCGTC